ACAGAATTTTAAAAATCACGATGTTTATTAAAAACCTCTTTATTAGAAGAGTTAGTACTAATCCTAAATCCAATGGAGTAGGGTATGTGTTTGATAACCGAAGCATGGTGGTTGGAAATGGGATACATATATACTGTGTTGGAATTAACCTTCGCATAAGGTTGGAAAGTGTTGCTAGTAAGGTCTAGGGTGACGTCCAGAGAATCTATCTGTTCAATGTTAGTTGTAATTGTAGTCCTAAGACCTAAATCCTTAAACTCCCCATGAATCATTTTTCTACCTTAATTTTAGTAGAGTTTTTAAAAACTAACAAGCCACCATCTCTATATAATACTACACTATCCGAATCTAGACATTCAAAGGCACTTAAATTGTATAAAAGAAATAATCCAACCAAGTCAGAGGCTTCGGCAAAATCGAAAGAACCCATTGAAATGTCAAAATTATCGCTGCAAGACTTTTTGGTCTGATATTCATTGTAGACCAGAACAGAATTTCGGCATTTCATGATTATATCCACTTCACTCTCAGAAATATTAGAGTATTTCCGTGCGAACTCCAAGATCAGAGTGAACAGATCCCTCGATATGGAGGGATAATACTCAATAATGTCGAACTGCATAAAAGTGCAGTTGTCCTTATATCGGATGTTAGTAAACCAGTTGATAACATCAGATATGTTAATCCACTGTAAGAGTCCATGTTTTTTTTTTATGGAGTGGTTGGTTCTTGCCAAGATGGTTTTACTGATTCTACCGATTTCTGGTCTAGCAGGGTTAATAAGCCTTGTTGATGGCTTAGTTCTGAATTCGGGTTTATGGTCTTTTAACAAAACATAAGCTTAATTAGTTTGCAGTATACTGACACGATCACTTATCCGTAGTTTGTGAGAAATGGATTTACTGACACATTTAATCCTATCTATCTGGTTAAAATTATTAGTGTCAATTTTCTTGTAGCTTTTGGTCAGACTATTTTTAACTAAGGTATCATAATACTTAGGGGATAACATATAAATTATATTTTAGCCTAACCCCCAACATTAAAGCATTAAATAATTATTATAACCTTAGTTCGTTGTCAAGTTTTTTGAATTCTCATATACTTGTATTTTGATTGGTCATTGCAGCTTACGTAACAAAGTTTCCCCTAGTGAGAAATGTTTGATTGATTTGAATCTTTTAAAACCCTTTATTCTACATTCAACACCATCACTTGTTAAGACACCAGAAGTATTGAAACAAAATGGCTATTTTTTGTAGTGATTTTATAACATATTTATGTTATAAAATTCGAATAATTATATATATATATATATATATATATATATATATATATATATATATAATTACATGAATTATTCAGACAAAAAACAAATATGGAGGTTAATGATTTAAATGGCGAGAATACATCTTCGCAAACAATTTCAATAAGATACACTAACCCTGAATCTGTATATGAATGATATGATCCCTGTTTATAAATTCCAGTTTCATAAGGTCTTTTTTAGTTTTTACAAGCTTTCGTCTGTTCCTACAGACATCCTCAGGTATGGAAATAGATTTGTTCTTGTTTTTTACTTGTAATTGTAATTAAATTAAAGACATTAGTTCCATTTTATCCTCAAGCGAATTTTGGAGTAACTTATAAAATTACTGGGTTTTAATGACAGCAAAAATCATAATTCACGTTTCCAAGTTTACAGAGAAATCCATTCAACCAGACGAGGGATGTTTGCGTGTTCATTATATTTGTATTTTGATGTATCCGTTATTAGTTACGTTTTGTTAGGGGGTAGGGATGTATTTTTCAATGAATTCTGACATCCGTTAAATGCATGTCGTCTGGATTTTGTAAAATTTTATTGTTAACGGCAAAAATTCTTACGGCATTTTTTTCTATTTGTATATTTAAAGATTTTGGGTAGGTGTTTAGGTTAAAATACGTTTTATTTAACTACGATTTGAAAAAAACTTTTCACTTTTAATTTTTAATTTTTAATATACTATATTTCTTTTAAGAACAAGTAAATGTATTAGAATCCCTTACAGTATGTAGAATTATTTTCACATCAAGTATAAGAATGTATATTATTAGGTAACATTTTTTTATAATTATATTTAAATATTATTTAAGTAAAATTTATGACAATGATGGCAAAAATAGCTAATTAATTTCACTGATTTAGTAAACTTTTATTTTTATATAAACCTAGTAATATATTGTTTCTCATGTAAGTACAAAGGACATGGGTCATTCAAAAACTTACATCTCATATTAATTTCATTTTACTGTAGGTGTTTTATTGGATTCTTTCAAGTGCTTGTAGTACACACACACACACACACACACACACACACACACACACACACACACACATATATATATATATATATATATATATATATATATATATATATCAAAGTGGACAGTAAAGTCAACACCCAGGTGCGACAGGCTGTTACATGCTTATAAACAATCGCCAGTCATGGAACAATGC